TATTTGCAATAAACTTAATTGTTAAAAACAAACTATTCAGATGCATGATCTCATTTGATGCCCAGAACAACTCAGATGAAATGGGCAAAGGCAGAAGAAAACCTAAAGCATGGAGAGGTGAACATACCTTTTCTCAAAAAGGACATGAACTTGGGTTTTCTGAATCCATGTCTAGGACTCTTTCCACTATACTACTCTGTCATCATGGAATGGAAAACATATACTTTGCCAGAGTCTATTAGAATATTAGATGTCTCCTTCCTGATGTCACCTCAAATCCCAGATAAGCATCTTGTAGGCCCATAGTAGCAGCCTAGTATATACAAATGTGTTGGTTGGTATTCATAAAGCAGAGAAAAGCTAAATTGTGACACAGCCAATGGATTTCAAATGTTCAAAAATCTTCATCAATGTCATTTCTGAACAAAACTGTCATATATAAATTTCCCTTTGTTACCTCCAGCCTTTCATTTCAATACTACTTTTCCCCCTTTTATCTCCTATTGTCTTGTTCTAAAATGGCTGCACTCTTTCTGTAACTTCCTGCACTCAAGTCAAATACTTCTGATACTTGCAAGCATTCTGTTCTTTTTCTCAGAATCCATAGTAACATCCGATGCCCACATCTACCAGGGTGATCAAAGAAATGATCATGCTGGGGCTGCATTATCACTAACTGTGAGAATCACCCTTTCCAAATGTCCCTGCTGGACATTTGTGCTCAAGCCACCCCCTACAGGGATTGGCAAGCACAACATTTGAGCTTGAGTTCCACTTGGCCACAGACAATAAATAGAATTTCCAAGGGGAGAAAACTGAACCTCTAGTTTTTTTGAAAGTGGATCTATTTCTACTTGTATCTGAAACACCTCTTGAGCTGATAACTCCTTAGAAAATGAAGGGAACCATATTGCATGCAAATGTAGGTTTTAATGTCACACATCACACTTTCAAATTTAGGTCTCCAGACATAGAAAAAAATTAGTGTGCATGGCATGCATAAAGAAGTGGAGTGAATAATTATCTCCTGGCATTATCCATTCCAGATTCTATTCCAAAATGAATGCTATAGTGGAATGTATTTATTCACATTGGGATGAAACTTAGGATATAACTCTAAGTTAATTTTATTTTCAAAGAAAATTTCATTAAAATAGATAAAGGCTTTGTTTCAAAGAGACAAAATTGGAACTAATGCACTTTGCCCAGGTTTGAGCATTTCATTTGGCCTCCTTAAAAGCTTAATGTTTAAAGTGGCATTCTCAAGATACAATAACACTGACAAAGGAATATCTGATAGAATGATGGAGTAACACCATGATAAATCGACTGACAATGAGACAAATCACCCAAGTGGGGAAAGTGGCCCCTCTGTTGACATAGAATCAATATTTACCATGGTTTCAGAACCAGGTAATTGTGAATGGACATAGCTTGTGTTTTCATCTGAACTGAAGATTTTGAAAATTTATGTTTTGACAAGTTCCGACCCAGGTCTCTATGGATCTTACAGATGGAATGCAATTGGCAACGCTGACTCATGACTTTGTTTATACACTTGTGCTTCTGCACATCAGAAAAGCTATTTTTTTCCCTGTAGTTTCTAAGAATGGCTCTCAATTACAGAGCCTAAGTCTGATTCATTTCTGTTCCCCTTTTCTAGCTTACGTCCATTTTTCTTCTTGCATATGTGTCCATTATGACATCTTTCAGAGTCCATCAGAGATATGGAATAGACATGAAATATTTTACTGACTTGAAAGTATGCAGGAAAGATTCCTTCCAATAAGAAAAATTATGCATATGCATTTCCTTTTCCCTTGCCAGTGTATGGCAGCAAGGAAAACAGAGAACTAATATTTAATAAGACATCTAGAAAAGCCATTTCCTTTACCTCAACAGCCCATATTTCACTCTTGCTTTTATTTTTGTGGCCAGATCTTGCCCTTCTGTCTTCTTATTAATTATTATTATTGTTGTTTTCAACATCATCATGATGTTTATTGTTATCATAGCAATTTGTTTTTTTAGCATTTACAGTGTGCCTGTCACTATTCCAGATACAGTCACATTTCCCAATCACCCTTCATTTCTACCTACTATATAAAATTTCTCATTGGTACATTGCTAATCAACTATACTAAGTTACAGTAAGTACTATAGTGTTCTTCCTAGTATCCTCACTGTTACAAGTTCCTTATTATCTCTTTTATTTCTTTCTCCTCAGCTCAGCTAAGATCATCTCTGCTAGTCACTGTGACCACTGGTTGGTTCCTCAAAAGTTCCTACCCTCGATTTCTACTACAACTAATTGGAAGCACTAATCTTCATAACTGATCTACATTTTCCTCTATATCTTGTTCCTTATTTCCTCATTCTGGAGAAAAGAATGACTTCGTTTCCCTACATTGTGTATGTGTGCATATTTGTGTGTGTGTGTGTGTGTGTAAATATATATAACGCTCTCTCTCTCTCTCTCTATATATATATATATATATATCTCTCTCTCTCTCTCTCTCTCTCTCTCTATATATATCCCTGCCTTCTCAGATGCAGTGTTGGGTGGGTTGATAAAACATAAATATGCAAAAGAACCATATTAGACATATAAAGTTTCATGGGAATACCTAGGAGTTAAAATTATTTTACTCTAAAATAATGGGGAATGTTTTACATCCAGGAAGAGCTAAGATTCTCTGAATAAAGAGAATTGTGGGAGCTGTTAGGTAATTAATCTGATATAAATGGTTCATGTAAATAAAATTTATGAAAGAGGATCAGGGTTCATTGATGTGGAGAGTTAAAAGGAGTGGGAGACAAAACTCAGTGAAGTCCATTAATGTTCAAGTCTTAAAGGATATCTACCCCATTTCCCTTTTATAAGTCTTTAAAACATCCTGTGCTCAGGTCTTTAAGTGGTGGAAAGATCTCAAAAACATGGCCATGCTTTCCTATACTTGATATTCTCTCCATTTATTTATCCTTTAGAATCATGAGAAATGTCATCTCCAAAGGGTGACATCCCCAGAAGAACCAGAAAAAAAGCTGTGTGAAAATGATTACTCATTCTATGTGGTCATTTAAAGTAGCAATGGCAACATGGGTGTTTGTTTTATTACTCTGCATTTTTCTCCCCTTTTGAAATGTGACTTCTAGAATATAATGAATAATAGCTGCTATTAAATAAGACGCTCATAAACTTGAAACAATTTTCCATCTCTGGGCCTTCTCTACAAAACCTCCCATGAATAGCTTAATAGGAAATCATCTCTTCATTTGTTGGAATCCTGTAGCATTTTTTCTGTACTTCTTAATGTTACTTAACTACTTAACTATTTCTGTCTCATAATGTATATTAATTTATAACTATTCATGTAACATCTACTCTCCCCATTAAAATTTTTGACAGTAACACCCAAACCTGTTTCATCTCTCAACTTTCCAGTGCATGCAGTAGTTGGTATTTCCCATATAGTTCAGACTCAGAAGTTATTGAATGACTAAGTGAATAAATATAGGAATGAGTGGTCCCACTGAAAGCTCATTCTCAACTTGTTACTCATAGGATTTTATTTCAAATGTTGACTTCCAAAGCAATGACCACAAAATTAGTATGAAATAGGATGAGCATGAAAATTGTTTTCAGGAAAATTGAGCTTTGAACTTAGATCTGTTGTTTCTTTTGAAAATACTCTATAAATCAGATATACTTGTTTTGTCAAAATTATGACATAGCTCTTTATAAAATGTGCCCTTAGCTGGGTGTATTCAGAGGTGTAGCATTTAAAGAAGAAATGAATCTAGAATTTAGTTTTCATGCTCATATTTGCAAATAATAAAAATTATTCAAAACTCAAGGAAAGCAATCTAATTAAATCGCTAATAAGCAAAATCAAAGCAATGGAATTACAACATAATATCTAGAATATTATAGGATTCTTCTTTTATAAAATATTATAAACACTCCACAATGCATTATGTTAAATTACAAGATAAAATGCAATTGTCATTTAAAATATGTATTTAAAAACTAAACCATCAAAAATAATTCATTCATTAATAATTGGTTCTTATTTCATATAAAAATAAACCAAATAGATAAAAAGTAATTTCTACAGATGATTAATTACATCTTTATAACATTAAATAAACAAAAACATCAAACTTTTTGGTTTTTTTCTAATTGAACAAAGAAAGTATCCACCATCTTTGACATGTGCACTTTACAATTCTATGATCTTTGTTAATTTTAGATAAACAATTTCAAATAAACAATTAAAATGTTTAAACAAAAAGAAACCAAAAATTTCTGATATTTTCAATTAGAGTCTCTTGCCACAATGTTGAAAAATGAGAGAGGCCTGAAAGTGTGTAAAATGGCATGTTTTATATTGAGATTTAAACTTCACTTTGAGAGTAGGTATTCAAAATGAAAACCAAAGATTTTGAATCATCATTGAATCCTGTATGAATCCTGGTAGACACTCATATAAGTCAAATCCATCATTTACTCTTGGATTCATTTCTAGTCACACTCCCACTTAAGATAAAATAAGGAATGTAGCAATAATCTCTGATATTAGTTTTCTTTGTGGAATAGAATACAAATGAGGAAAGTTTTCAAAAGTGGCAAACAATATATAAAATTCAAACTATTAAATTGGCTAGCTCAAAAGAATGCCAAAATGAAATGAATACTATACTATTTTATAATAAAAAGCCCTTAAAACTTATTTCAGATTATTCAAACATCTATATTTCCCACAGGCTTAATATAAATTTAAATGGGGGGCGCCTGGGTGGCTCAGATGGTTAAGCGTCTGCCTTCGGCTCAGGTCATGATCCCAGGGTCCTGGGATCGAGTCCTGCATCGGGCTCCTTGCTAGGCAGGGAGCCTGCTTCTCCCTCTGCCTCTGCCTCTCTCTCTCTCTCTGACTCTCATGAATAAATAAATAAAAAAACAAAAAACAAAAAAATATATAAATTTAAATGGAACCTACCTTTAAAATTTGGCCTGATTCTTGCATCGTATCCTGATGTCCTTCCCATTAATTTGTCCAAGAAATCTGAAGGCGATAGGGTCTGTGAAGGCTGTTTTCCAGACCTGGAGTCATGGTCTTTGCAGAAAGCCGTCCTAAACACATCATTAACTTTTTTAGCAACAATTCCATTCTCATTGCCTGAGAACTAAGGCTCACAGAATGTTTGACATTATGTTTTGTTAATATACGTGATAGTAAGAATAAAAAGAAAATTACAAACTCTTTGGTCAACTTCTGAATTTGTACATTCTCTAAAGTTAACTTTAAATGATGAGAGTTAGAAATCCTGAGTCATATCTCCCATATGTCCAAACTGTAGCCATAAAGATGTTTAAGATGATACAACATGCATAGCTTATGTTGTAGATTTTATGGACATATAGTTAAAGCTGTTTCTTTCTAGACTCATCAGAGAAATGAAGATGATAATTTCTAAAATGTGATTGTCTTAAAATTATTCCCCCATGACTCTTAAACAATTCTTCCAGCATTTTAGCCCTTAATGTAAGTCCTGTACTTTTTATTAGAAATATGTAATACAATGGGCAGAACAAAGTAAACAGTGAACTAATTATTCCATTGCTTATTTTCTCACCTGCTAGATTGTATTCCTGCTGTCAACTATTAATAATTTTCAATGCATTGCCTAAAAGAAAAGCTTCACGTGGAAATTTAACTTCATTCTAAAATAGGTCAATAATGAGTGTGTCTGTACTTCTATTACCTTATCAGATGTTATTTATATATTAGCATTTAAATTGTTCACTCTCCAGTAAAGTATTCATGAAAAAGAACTTCTAAATAATTTTCTTTTCTGCATTATCAAAAACACTAAATGTTGACTGGAAAATTTCTCATACTTTCATTTTCCTTAAAGGACTTATAAAAAGAGCCTATTTGGTTTGTAGTGAAATGAATTCTTTCACAATATACATAGTGGTTGACTGAATGTCTATTTCTTCACTAAAGCATAATATTTTATAAGCTTTGTTTTTAGTAGTTTAACAAATAATCTTGTTAATTCTATCACTGAGAAAACACCACATTTTTGCCAGTTTTTCAAGGTAGTATTAAATGCAAAGTATTAAGTGCAAAGAGAATTTAAACATTTGGTAGGAGTTAAAAATTGATACAATTATCTAAAAATACTCACATTCCCATATGCAGATTCATCTGATTAATCAAGTATTATTTATGATGGTGGTGGTGGTGGTAATGAAGGTGATGATGATGATGATGGTGATGATGCTTCTAATGAAACCCAGCCTATAGTTTTTCTTAATCATAGTAGGTGTGAACCTGAAAGGAACATAGTGGGTTTTCCCAGTACTCATAACATTAGCTATATGTTCCATTTCTCTTGGTTCTGTGAAAAAATACCATAAAATGTGGTGAAAATTAAATGAGGAGTCCTACACTTTGTTGTATGAACATCTCCTGTCTCTATGCTGTCTTAGAACCTCTGCCATTAGGATGGCTATTTCACTTACTGGTAATCATCTGATACTTTGAAGTATAAACTGATTTGATAATTTATAAACTAGGTAGAAAATGCACACATGAAATAATGATTTCCCACTTATTTTAATTATGCATAGCCCATTTCTCATACACAGATAAATACAAAGATGTCATATTAACTAAATTTTGGTAGTCATTCAGTTTCCAAATATACTGAGCAATGGAACATAGTGGTAAAATGAGATTTTAAATATTTTTGATGTTTCAAGAAATTTCCTGAATTGTAGTGCTCATAGTATGCATCTAGTTGCTGAAACACAATAGAAGTTTCAAGTTGACTAAGAATTAGGGTTCTTTTATATTTTATATAAAATGAGCATGCTTCTTGTAAATTAATCCAATCACTTCCACCATATGAGAAGCATTGCATCCAATAATCATTTTAAATGACTTTCAGAAGAATTTGAAAGCAAAAAAAAAAAATCATCATTATATAGAAATGTAAAGAGCATGCAACTCATTAGACTTCCTTAATATCACATTGCCTGTGAAAATGTGTGGAAATGCATAGAGTGGGGTTATGGATCATAAAACTTGCCTTTGTGAAAATTTACCACCCTCCCACCATAATTACGCCTTTTAAAAGAACAAAAGAAATCTAACTCTCCTCTATAAAATTAAAATAATATGGTCCAGGGCATAGAAAAATAGATAAAAAATGTATGACACGTTCTCTTTCAAACAGTTTTCATGGGGAAAATATCAGCATGCAAAGTCGTTTCACCTACCTGAAGTGGTTTGTCTCTAAGAAAAATGCAAACAAGGCTGTCAAAATGTTCACTAGCTGCCGGTTCATTCCTGTTTCTGTGATGCTTGTGGAAAATATCCCCGAAATGATTCCAGAAAAAAGCTAGGACAAAGTATCTATTTATTGTCCAGATTCGAAATCTGGCAGGAATCTAGTTTCCTTGAAAATCAAAAAGAGATTTGGGTTTGTACAGTTTGCTGAGAAAAAACAAAAAGTGCCAGTCCTAGGCATCATGGTCAGGTCAAACCGGGGCTCAGGACCATCAGCTAACCAAGGAAAGACAAAGCCTTAGAACTGATGGATTCCCCAGCTGCTTTTCCCGAATAATAAAAACGCCGCTACCTTAATCGCATCACCATGCAAAGGGGGCTGGTGACAATGCCATGCTGGAAGTCGGGTTGCTGTGGCTTTTGTTTTATGTCCTTTCTGTTTAGCAAATCCCTTTTCTCTAGAAAATGTTCTCTTTTTAAAAGAAGTTGTAAATGAGAGAGAAGAAAGGACTCTGAGCGCTGAAGTGGGCACGGGGGAAGAGGGCAAAATTGCTGAGATCCTGTGCTGGAATGAGAGCTACAGAAAGAGACGGGAGACGTGATCTTACCCAGCCTATAAATTTCAGCACTCGGACAGCTCCTAGCTCTGAAGTGCGCATGTTTCCTTTTTCAGTCGCTTGGGGCGGGGGTCGGGGAGAGGCATTCAAGAGGGGACAAGCCTGATGTTCAAAGGCAAAGAGTGGCTTGCTGTTCAGGGAAAGGGTGCTAAAGGGGAGTGTGATGACAATCAGGGGAGAGCAGAGGTCAGGGTAGACGAGGAGGGTGAAGGAGGTTAGGGTCTGACCCCTAGAAATGCGAGTCTGTCGGTGGGTGGGCGGAACGGGAGTTTAAAGCAGAAAAGGGAATCCGGTTAAGGAGTGGGAAAGGGAAATTGGGGGAAGCAGAAAACAGAATCCGGAGTACTGAAATTATAATAGGGGAGTGGGTAGTTCACTCCTTGTCAGTGGAACCTAGAGGCAAAAGAGGAGTCCTGTGCTGAAGAGGAAGGGACATTCTCTTGACATAGACAAGTCCGTGCGCAGAAAAAGGTTCATGAGGATCAATAATTTAATTTAGAAGCCCTTTATGCCTTCCTCGCCCCTTGAGTGTTTTCGTTTGATTTTAGCCGCCTGCTCCCAAAGGATCGCTACCTCTCTATTAGGGAAAGTCCCTTCCGCTGAGCTTTCTTCAGTGGCTCAAAATCCTTGGGCATCCTATTCAAGTCAATTTGTAGAGGAGTAAAAATACAGTAGGCCAGCAGGGGGCAGTAGCAATCTTTTTCTGCCCTGATTAAAGGTTAGAGTAGGGCTTCATGTAAGAAACAGAAAGGAAGGGTGCGACTGAGGGTTGAGTTTTCATCTGTCCATTCCAGATGTTAATCACCAGGGAGATCCATGCAATAAAGTGTAGATGTTCTCCTAAACTGGCTAAAGAGAGAAAATAGTGAAAGTTTATAAATCCTATACAAAAGCATGACAGGTAATCTTGTTTCAAAGTAAATTTACAAATATTATTATTACTAAAAGAGGAAAAGTAAATAGTTCAATGCAAATAATTAGCAGCTTCTGGTAAGGGGAAATGAAAAATACATGTTCTACCATGAGTTGGGTGAGTAACCTACTATTTGCCTGTAAAATATATCTCGTTAGTCACCTAGGCACTCTACTGCAGGTCTTAATTTTAAAACAAAATGATTAGTTTTTAGTCCATAAATGACTAATCTGCCCTTGGATTAATTAAATACCATAGCAGAGTAACAAAAGATTCTATATTTTTAAAAAGTAGATTCTGAAAAAAAAATTACTAAGTTCTTTTTACCTTTTAATGTTAATATAAATCACCTGAGCATCCTGTTAAAATGCATATTCTGATCTAGTAGGTCTGAGGTGGTGCCTTAGATTCTGCATTTCTAACAAATTCCTAGCTGAGGTTGATGCTGCTGGTCCACCGATCTCACTTTGAGTAGCAACAGTCTATATGACCTTTTATCAGATTTCTGTCCTACCAAGACAGTGAGAATATAGGAACCTCTCTTTAGATGAAAAGCAGCAAGTGCCCAAGCATTCTGCTTACATACAAAATCAATTATTTGGATGTGTTTTTTTAGCTCTCAAAGCCCAGAAAAGGTGATTCAATTTAAAAGGAAAATAGTATAGTGTAGTGTGAGACATCCCTGGACTGCAGCTTCGAAGCTGTTCACTTCCAAATTCATCCACATGGAAACTCTAGACCTGATTTTATCCCTGCAGTCCTGACCCAAAAAATAAAACCAATTCTTGGAAATATATTTCTTCAATTGATGCTATGGAAAAATCATATAAGAATTTTTTGTGCTCAAGATTCTTTTCAAAAGAAAAAATATATATGTAAATGTAGAAGAGAATGATTTGTCCCAAGTTTGTTTGAGGCTGTAATGATGCTTAAAGTAACACGGTCTTTGCAAATCATTTCTTTCAATGGCAGAGTCTTTTTATTAACCAGGAGTGAGGTGAGTAGGGAAGCCTAAGACAAAGAGAGGCTCTGACCAGCAGCATGAAATCACAGCATTTACTATTTTAAAGTTGGAAGGGACTTTAAAGAGGATCTAGTCTAGCCTCCTCATTTTTAAAAGATTTTTTATTATATTATTTTTATTATTTGAGAGAGAGAGAGAGAGCGTGTGTGCGCATGAGCAGGGTGAAGGGCAGAGGGAGAAGCAGACTCCCCACTGAGCAGGGAGCCCGATGCGATGCGGGACTCGATCCCGGGACTCCAGGATCATGACCTAAGCTGAAGGCGGACCGCTTAACCAACTGAGACAGCCAGGCATCCTAGCCTCCTCATTTTACTTTTCAGCTCTTTCCAATTTGGATTCCAGCTCTATCAATCCACAGAAACAGCTCTGACTAAGTCTTACAATGAATTCCTTGTAACTAAGGCCAAAGGATATTTTTCTGTTGTCATAGTACTTGACATTTCCATGTCCCTGAACATTATTGGTCTCTTTTCGCTTCTTTTTTAAAAATTAGTTTTATTTTATTGTGGTAACAACACTTAACATGAGATCTATTCTCTCAACAGATTCTTAAGTGTGCAATACAATATTGTTAACTGTAGGCACAATGTTGTACAGTGGATCTCTAGAACTTATTCATCTTGCATCACTGTAACTTTATACCCATTGATTAGCAACTCCCCCACTTCTCCCCTCTTCTCCGTCCCTAGCAACCACCATTCTGCTCTCTTGAAGCAACTTCCTCCCTTGACTTTGTGATGCAGTGTACTCCTAGCTTGCCTCCATTCTGTCTTCTTGGCAGGCATATCCTACTCTACCTGGCTTATAAAAGTTAGATTCTTAAAGGCTATATTCTAGGTTCTCTCTTCTTCTCATACTATACTCTCTTAGACAATATTTTGCACATCCATGCCTTCTATTACCCTCATACACAGATGGCATGCAAATATATATATTTCTATCCAGACCTGTACATCCAATTGCTTCCTAAACAATTCCTGCTGGATGTCTCAAAGGCTCCTCAAATTCCCCATGTCAAAATCAAACTTTTAATACTTCCTCTAAATACATTCCTTTTCTACTGTGCCTGTTTCATTGTTGCCAACCAAAAGCCAAGGTCATCTCTAAGACTCCCTCTCCATCACCCACCATATTTAGTTCTTCACCAACCCCTATTGATTTCATCACTCCTATGTTTCCAAAATCTGTCCACTTTTCTCCATATCAACTTCCACAACCCCAGTTGAGCATTCCTTATCTCTTCTTTGTATTGTAGCAATAGTTACCTTACTGTCTATCTGAACCAACAGCTGATCCTCCTCCACCTCATTCTATACACTCTAGCCAGAGTGGTTGTTTAAAAATCAAAATTTGATTATATCATACCCCCTGAATAACACTATGACTTTCCGTTGATCTTTGGGTAGAACAAAAAAACTACATAACGTGACCTAATAGTTCCACGTGGTCTGGCCCATGCCTACATTGTCCTTCATCTTGTCCCCTACTCATCTCATTTCTCCCCCTATAGCTATATTGGTGTCTTTTTAGTCCCTCATGCTTTCCATATTGCTTAATCCCAAGGAATGTGTATGCCTCCCGTTTTGTCTTGTTAATATCAACTTGTTTTTCAAATCTCTGCCCAAATGTTATTTCCTCAAAAAGACCTTCCCTGACCTGTCAACTCTCCCTACGATAGTCTTCCTTAGTACTCAGCAACTCTGAGTCAAAGAGCTTGTATTTTTATGTATACATATGTATGATTAATTACTTAAGTGATGAGCTTTGTAATGGACAGGGACAGCATCTGTATTAGACCATCATTGTATCCTCATACATTCACTGATAATGATAATAATCACAATGGTTTTGATGATGATTAGGATACAATTTTTAAAATGCATCCAGAAGTGCTGCTTAAACAAAACAATATATTTAAATATGTATAGTTTTGTCAAAAATTGTCACAGGGAATTAACAAATGAAGAACTATGATTATTTGAAAGGAAACCAAGCTCAGTGGCTCATGAGTCTATAGCATGAGATGAAAATACAAGTAAGAGACTAGGAATCTGATATCCTTGATTCCAGTTCCAACTCTAACACTGATCAATTATGTGACCTTGGGTAAGCCATTTACTCCCACTGAGCCTCATTTTCATCATATGTAAAATACAGATGATAATATTGCTGTGTAAAATACTACTATATGGAATACTCTTGAAAGTCATATGAAATCATAGCTGAGGATGTGTTTTTAGGTTCTTAATCTCAATTCTTAACATCTATTGACTGCTAAAATTCATGTTTTGACTTTATTCCTTGGGCAGTTCCACTTTCAAGCACAGTAAGTCTCAGGAGCTTAGAAAAGGTCTTATTTGCAATGCAATGGAATCCTGAAGTCGAATGCACCTATGCTTCTAAATCACCAAATTACAACTAGTTGAGGCATGTGGCACCCTCATTTTGTATTCTTATTATCAAAGCAATGAGAAGATTCTGACCCATCCTATAATGTCATAAAGATCAATATACAATATTTGGTCTATATGATGCTGCAAATTAAAAATTCTAAATAGATATAAACAAATAGAGACATGTCTTATGAACATCAGCATTGTTTGAAAATCAGTATCATTTACTAACACTGATAAACTTCTAACATAAACAATGCTTTATCATTTTCAAAATACTCGGGGCGCCTCAGTGGCTCAGTTGTTAGGCGACTGCCTTCGGCTCAGGTCATGATCCTGGAGTCCCGGGATCGAGTCCCGCATCGGGCTCCCTGCTCAGCAGGGAGTCTGCTTCTCCTTCTGACCCTCCCCCCCTCATGCTCTCTCTCTATCTCATTCTCTCTCTCAAATAAATAAATAAAATCTTTAAAAAAAAAATACTCATACTATGTGGTAGGCAGAACAATGATTAATCACAATTTTCTTTCCAATGAGGAATCTAAAGTTCATGTACGTTGATCAATTGTCCCACGTTCACATGATTATTAAGTGACAAAGTCATACTTTCTATATTTACTACCCAAGTGAGCACACTTATTTTTCATTGTATGTATGATTGATCTTATTT